TTTATGTTGTGGTACGTACTAAGATTATCTTATGGTTTTCTTTCCTAACTCACTAACTATATGTTGTGGCTAGTTAGAATGGATATTTGCCTATTTGGTGATGCACATTGGTGCATTAAGATTATCTTATACGAAGTATTTGCTTTTAAGTTATGGGTATAATAATGCGTTAATACACATAGTTTATATTGTAATGTTTTCCAAGTTTACTTTCATAACCTATGTGGTTCACGGATGGCAGGAATTTGTATCTTGAAGGGATGGAAGTCTAATTAGTGCAAAGCTGCTTCCTCTATATTTCAATTGAATGTTTACTTTATGCTATCACAGAGTCACATGTAGTTGTTCTCAGTGACAGTGATGACGAGTTGCCTACGGACAGTCCTTCCAATTGTAGAAAGAAGATGAAGTATGATAAAGAAGCAATGCATGAAGCAAAATTGGTGGCACCTGTATTTTGCAGCCCAAAAAAACCCAAAGCATCTAAAGGAAGCAGAAAATGGCTCTCAGAATCTGAGATGCGCTTGGCATTTGCAAATGATGGTGAACTTTGTATGAGGGCCATCTGTGCACTATATAGGAAGCTCCTCTCTGCACCTCTGACGTTGGAGGCCGTGGATAAAGGATTTGAGCCTAACGATCAAATTGGGTATGATTTGAATTCCCACTTTAGTACTCATCATTTCTCTATTTCTATTTGGAGCTCAAACTTTACCATCATTTACCACTCATTATAATTTCCTTTTGAACATATTCTGTTTTCTACATTACCACTGCGTGAAGAGCAGTCTGGAAGATACCCAGCTGATCTGATAAACAAATTTTTATCTGAAGGTTCTTGGTAATATTGGTTACAGGGTGCAAGATAATACTTGTGAAGTGAAGTTTTCATGGCCACCAGAATTAAATATTAGGAATTAAACCCTAAAGTGTCCATTTCTAGTGATTGCTTTAAACATAGTAGGGGAGGGAAATGGGCAATATGCTTTCATCTTTCATAATTGAAAAATAACGAGGAACACCTTCTTTAATTAACTCTGGGTCAAGTGACCTTTATGATTTTATTTAATGCGGCATCATATATGCTTGTCGGGCACTTCTGGTTTAGTGTTTATGACTTTATGTGGTCCAATGTGGTCATGTTTCATGACTTGCACGTTCGGCTTTAAAAACTCAATCTTGTAATGGGACATGACTCTACCAACTATCACAAACCATTGCCGTCTCATTATATTTACCATGTGACTGGAAATAAATCAAATAATGTACGATGATGTCTGTCTTAAAATTTCATATCATTATTCCTTTATATATGAAGGTTGTGATAGGAGGGGCATCAGGTTGCATTATGCTTTGTTGCATGAATTTAGAGTGTGAACCAATTTAGAGAGAACAGTAGCGTACTATAACTACTGATTGAATGATGAAGCTTAGGATTTATGATTATTTTGACAGAGAAACAAAGAAATAAATCTTAATGTGGAATTAATGTGTGCCGAGTTTTTCAAAGTACAATAATTAGTTGATTTAGTTCTCCACAAGTAGTTTAATTTCTATCTATATACAAAGCAGAGTGGAAAGCTTGGCATTTTCCAGCTCAAAAATGTCACAATCATGGTCAAAAGTCACTCCAACCCAAATTGATGGTGTATTTGTTAAGGGCCTTGGTACAAGATCCCATCCAAGTCCGCTGAGAATAGAGAGAGGAATGTGAAGCTATGATGTCTGGAATAAAAACCCTAACTTCCTGCCCTGGCCAATAATTTATTCCAGCAAAAGATAGTTTCCTAAAACAAGAATTGGAAAGAGCCTTTAACTACTGTAATGCTGGAATAAGAAGTTGACTAAAATCTGGAAAGCTAATTAATAGGAAACAAATGAAATAAGGAAAGCTAATTAAATAGAACAGCCATAATAATTTCTAGATTAATTAATTAGGCTCCTCCTGTTCAGTGACCAACATTTGTCCATCCAATGACCACAGCCCGCCCATCCAATGACCACCGTCCGCCCATCCAGTGACCACCTTTGCCTGTCCAATGACCAACGTCCACCACTGCCCAGTGACCAACAATGCCCTGGCCAGTGACCACCACCATACCTCACCAGCGCCGCCGCCGACCACCACCGCTGGACACTGCCGTCGACCGCCAATGCCGGGCACCGCTGCCGATCACCGCCTCACCCCGACTTGCTTCCCCCACCCCTTCCTAGGCTCCAGCCCCCAGCCACCTCGCAGCCCTAGACCCCAGCCCCAATCCCTGCATAGTCGCTACCCCCAGCTCCCAAACTAGCGTTAATCAGAAAGCCAAGCCTTGCAGCGTCACTGTCGACCACCGCCGCGGTCGCAGATCTGAAGCTTGATGACGCCGCTGCCATTGAGACATAACCCTTGCTGTCCAGGTCTATACACGTAGGTGCTCTGCCGCCAATGATTCGAAAGCCGACGCTGCCTTCCCTCTTCTTCGATTTCGTTCCGTCTGCAACCATGAATCCATAGGCTAGGGTTGTGCATGGCAGTGCAGATCAATCGCGACCCAGAAGAAGGAGAAGAACAGATACATACCTGATGGCCGAGACATGTTGCTGGGGTTTTTAAGTTGAGAAGGCTAAATTGGTAAATTGAGTGCCAAACGGGTCTCTTTTTTGGAAGATTGAAAATCAGTCCTATTTTAGTCATTAAGTCTTCCGGAGGTAATATACATGTCTTTATTCCCCCTTTTAACCCAATGATTCAGAATTGCATTTATATGATTGACTTCACAGACAACAATTTCCGATCATGAGATCTTATGTCATAACTATAAATAAGAGTCAAGGTTAATATTATTACGTCAAAATTATATTATAAAGCATTCAAAAATTATGTTTTTTTAACTTAATGGTTCGAAAATACATTTATATTATTGATTTCAGAGACTACAATTACCGATCATGACCTCTTATGTCATGACTATAAATAAGAGTCAAGATCAATATTATGTTGTATTTACAAATCATAAAAGTTTGAAAATATGATTTGTAATTAAAATGACAAACAAATCAATCATACTATAATGTTTATTTTTGCGTTCTTTCTAAACATTGTGAACATGTCATTAACTATCACCCTTTCTAAATATAGCTTTTATTACGTAATACTACCTCCGTCCCACTATGTTTGGGACAATTCGGTTTACGATGCTTGACTGACGATAAAGCAAACATATCCTTGTCCGCACTCAAATTATTTTTTGAAAAAAAATTACATATTCAGAAACTTCATTAAAAGATTTACAAAGTCGCAAAAACCAGAAACAAATTTGATAAAAAATTGATATATAAAATAAAAGATTAAGAGTGATTTGTGTTGACCAAGTGAATAGTGTCTGGGACTCTAGGACAATCTTAGCGGGACGGAGGGAGTATATATTATGTCATATTCTCTTTTCACACATTTACACATTATACATATATGAATACTTTGATTTTAACATTATATAATAAATGATACTATTCCTTTTTACTAAATATTGTTCCGTACATCGCACGAGTGAGAATCTAGTATTATTCCAAGGCCCCGTTGTATAGCCAATACAAGGGCCAATAATATAGGAAGAAGGAAGCCACATAAAACTATATAAGATTATAATAAGGAAATAACAATAACTAGGAACCTAGAAGTGTAGTAGTAATAACAATACTGATAAGTCTGCTGCCCTGAATTTCCAGTAGTCTTCCCGCAGTCACTTCATTGGTGCTGGCCAACAAGATTTTTGCCATGTCATTGATACATCCGGCCCACAAATGCGTCCACATCAATTTTTAAGTGACTCTCCTTTTGGTAGTAAGGATTGGTTATTTTTGTAATGGACGCTCCAAGGTTCATGCTGTGGATCCTAACTACTTAGGATTAAGGTACTTAATTCCGATGAGTAATGATGCTCATCTAATCCATATCTTCATTGCGTGGTGAATCACTTACTCACATATTGTATGATTTACTCATTAAGGAAATTATGGCATGGTCAATCAAATGGTTCAAAGAATAACATATCAGTTGGGTATTTTATAAACACTTAAAACATAAGTTTTCCTTTTTCCCTTCAGGGTTGAATTGGCGAAGTATCTTATTGATGGGAATCCAGAAAACAAACTTAACAGGTCTATGTTGGAAGCCTCTCCTGTGGCTATTGGACAATCTAAAAGATTAGCTCGTCAGTACAGTGAGCAACTTTTTCGAATTTACTCTAGTGGTGAGGATCCATTGTTCTGTCACAATTCAATACACCCAGGCTGTAGTGCGCTCTGAACGAATGAAGGCTGTACATATGCAAGCTGCTCTTCATGTTAAAACATGGTGTTTAATGATTAATGTCATTTTGTCCAGTAGCAAGATGGAAATAGCTTTTTTGTTGTTGCCAGCATTTCATATGCATGGATGCTGTCTTTTTTGCTAGAAATTGGAATGGTAGGATATCTAAGTCTCCAACCTTATTTCTAACCTTTGGTCCTTGTTAAAGTCTATGTTGTTTTGCTGAAATGTGAAAACGCTGCCTTGTACATGGAAAGCTTTAAAAACACTTACCGTGGTTGTTTTTTTGCACAACTCTCTGCTTTGGATGCTTTTGTTTTTGTTCAACTCTAGTGTTTTTGCCAATTATCATTACTCATGAGGATAGCAACATTGGGAAATTTGATGAAATGTCATCTCTAGAGGATGTCAAAGAAATAGCATTTCATCCATTCATTTCTTAATTCTTACATTCGGAAATATTTTAAAATTTATTCATAAAGCTGAACTGGTCATACTACGTTAAGCTGCTGTATTGTATACTTTTCATTTGAACTCAAAATCATTATACTGTTCATATAAACCCCAAAGCTGATCATTTTTTAAAAAAAATAAACAAAGGAAGTTTGGGACATTGCTGTCAAAGAATTTCCTCAGTTCAGTAGAAAGATTTAAAGCAGTGGTGAAGGTCTGTGAATTTCAAACATAGAGAATTAGAGAATAGAAATCATTATATATATATGTAACACAAAATATTTGCATGAAAGATACATGTATATTATCCTGTATTTTGGAAGTGGCAAAGGACCGAATGTGGCTGAATCTCTAACCTGGGGATATATGGAACAAAAATTTCACAAAAAGGTTAAAATTTTAGTTTAAACCAAATTTATGTTTTGGAGGAGCCTAAACTATGTGAAGAAAGTTTTAAGCAACCATGGTCATATATGTGATATAACGACAGTGAAAGATGGGCTAGGGTATCTCTGCATCTTTTTCTTGTGCTTTCCTCTGTCCCCTAAGGCTCACAACAGATTGGCAGTCTGTGGTCCTTGCTGGAGGACCTCTTGACGGTGAAGAGCAAGCTCTCTGAGGATGTATTGGTGAGGCAACCAGTGATGAAGATGTTCTGGTGAACCCTGGGGCTGAAAATCCCGGTGATGAATATGCTCTGGTAATCCTTCCAGGAAAAGGTACTGGAGACTGATCTCTTAGTTTTCCTGTATTTAAAATGTCTGTAACATCAATCTCTTACTATATATCAAGCTATTGAGAAATGCATTAAAAATGAAGGAATTAATTAAAAAAATATAGCAAACCTGCTTTTGTGTCTTTAAATTTCTTGTTATAGGGAGTGTCCTTAGCTTGGAATTTTGTATTTGCTGGTTTTGAAGGAGCAGTTGCTTTCTCGAGAGTAGCAGCAGAGGACTGACCAATTTCCGAGAAGGAAAGATTTTTCTTTTCGGGGATCGTGGTTAATAATCTTAAACCATTGCTTAGATTTTTCTTTTCTGGGGTCTTGGCTAATCTTTGATCAGCTGAAGATTTACCTTGTACCACCTCAGACACGACTGGTCTTTGATCATTGGGTAAATCTTTCTTGTCAATTACATCCGAGAAGACATCATCATCTACAATTCCCACGACACAATCATTCAATAAAGAATCTGGATTCTCTTTAAAGCACCCCACTGTTTTTTTTTCCTTCTCCAAAATCTTATAAGCAAACATCTGGAAAGGAATCTGTGATGGCACACAGATTCCTCCATCTGATGCTTCGAGCTTCTTGGAGGAGTAACTGGCTTCAATGTCGCAATAATCAACAGGTGGAGGCGGATAGTCAGGTTGGCCGTGCTCAGGATTCATAACCAGAACCTTCTTGATGTAACGGAGAACCCTGCAAATGGATGAAAAGTTAGGACGAAGGGTTGGATCGGTTTGCCAACATTTTCTAGTCAAGTTCACAAGGTATCTTGGTGAGGGATGAGGAAAAAGAGGCCTCTCCCCAGCTCTCAAGTATCTTCCAATTTTCCCTCCTTCTATTGGTCTCTCCCCATCTTCAAATGGAACTTTCCCCGTCAGAAGCTGAAAGCAAAGCATACCGAAGCTGTACACATCAGCCTTCTCTGAGTACTTCTTGGCTATGCACCTGTTCTCTTCGCCTGAAAAATATGATAATTTTTTAAGTTTGGTCTGGATCTGATTAAATGGGTTTGATATCGTCTGGTTTTCTTGTCTCGAATGTAATACACTTGTCTGGTTTGAATCTTTCTAGGTTTGTTTGGTATGGTCTAGATCTTTTTAGTCTTATCAGGTTTGGTCTGAATCTTATTCACGGGTTTGGTCTAATTGTTTTGACTGGCCTAATTTTGAATTTTATCTGAACTGATTTTCCTATCTAAAGTAGAACACACCGATATGGTCTGACTTTTTCTAGTCTTGTCTAATACGATTTTTTTGGTCTTGTCTAGTTTAGTACGAGTCTTTATGCTCTGATCTGGTCCGGATATTTTTTGATATGGTCTGGATCTTTATGACGTGATTTGGTTTGGTTAAAATAAGAATAATTAATCACTTGAAGAGAAACACACCTAAGCATTTGCTCCCATGTTGATCTTCACCTTCATCCAAAACTTCTGGTGCGGCCCATACCAAGCTGGATCCATTAGGTATCGGGGAGGTTTTGTATGTATAGTTTTTTTTTATGGAGGATAACCTGAACCCAGCCACCTTTGCATGGAAATAACAACTTTCAGGAGAAAAGTTTCTCGGCTTGAGTAGTATGTTTGAGGGATTCAACTCCCCATGATAAATCTTTCTTGAGTGCAAATATTCCATCCCTCTTGCAATCTGAAGCATGATATCCACTGCAACCGGGATAGAAAATGCCACTACTCTCTTCTTCTGACTTGGAGAATAAGTATTCTCTTTTACTAACACATCAAGGCTCTTGCTCATTAGATCCATCAATAGAAACCCCTCTTTTTTCTCTTCATCATAGAAACCGCAATGGTATTGCAGTACGTTTGGATGAGAAAGGGAGAGCAACAAAGAAATCTCCTCAGCAATATGTGGTTCCTTGGCATCTCCATAAAAAGTTCTCAATGCAAAGCTCTCATCCAACCAGCTGATCTCCTTGAGATGGGTCGTACCCCCGGTTCCGATACGCCTTTTAACAGAATAGTCATTTGATCTCAACAAGATCGAACTATGCAAAAGGTTGGCGTTTGGAAACTCATCCAACTTCTTGATTAACCCTTCTCCTAGTTTGCTGTTCTTCTGGTTTCTGATGTTTTCTAGCAGAGACCATTTGTCTTCCCTCCAAACGCGTTCCAGGCGGATGCAAATGTCTCGTGGGACCAGATACTGCTTCCCAAATTTCCAGATGAAAAGTTTATGGTCGATCAAGTCTGACCCATACTTGTTGCTCATGAGTGCAACTCTCCTCATCCTCTCGATATCGTCATCTTCTTCTCTATCTAGACCTCCTGAGATCTCAGCAGCTGTCTCGATGGCCTCGATAACGAGTGGGAAACAACATAGCAAGTTATGGATATGGAACTCAACACAGTCACTGTTTAAATGAAGAGTAATGACTTTTCCCCACCAATTTTTTATGTCCAGACAGTACTTAACATATGATTCCCCTTCCTTGTAAATCCTATGAAGTTCTCTCAATGGCCGCTCAAGCACTTTCCACTTTGTGTTCCTCTCATGCAGTCTCAAGTTTTGTCTGATTTCATCTGAGATTGTGTCAAAAGCCAGAAAGAAAATGTCGGCCAGAAGACGACATTGCCTCTGGTTTATTAGAATATCATGTTCTAAAACCATCAAGGCCTTCAGGCTCCCCACAACCTCCCCAATCTGCCGCAACTCATCCATATATATTTTTAATTGCCTTTTCTTTTCAACCTATATCAAGTCAGTTTACCTGAATCAATTTCACTTTTGTGTACAAGAGATTCAATTATAAAAGAGTAAAATAATCAAGCAAGCAATTTAAATAAAATTCAATTTAAGATGAACCTGTGAAATGACAACAAAAGCTCTTGAATTTGGTGTGAATTGAAGATGCCGAATTCCTAACTGATTGCTATGAATCCGATAGAAATCCAGCGAGACCCATCGGCCCGATCAAATTACAATGTTCATTTACACATTCCCACAATCCCAGAGTAGATCCACCTCTGCATGGATTTTAATGTGAAAAACTGTGATTATATAGATTGCATTTCACTCGATATCATATAAAGAAGATGCCTTTGAGACAGCAAGAATCCAAGAAAAATTAAAAAGGACGATGAAGTAGAATTTGGGGCAAAAGCAATGAAAAATATATTTCTTTAAAAACTAAAGTTTAACGTTTGACAAATCACCTGAGAAAAATGGCAGATGTGGGAATTCCAGTCTGAGCTGCCAGTGGGCCGTTGACGTTTTGGAGGCCATTTTCCTCGATCCTTTTATATTCACATCCCGTCTATTTCGGTTTCCCTTGATAGCGTCCGTTGCTACAATTTTTGGCATTTATTTGATAACTGTCTTTAAACTAGGAGATTAATTAATTAATTATAACAGACGCCAGTCCCTTTCATTAAAGGTAGCATTAAATGATGGTGTAAATGAAGACCCTATGATGGGCAGTCCGAATTACAAATGTTTTACTTATCGGCTATCGCATTGTTTTTGGAGGAAATCCTATAGCATTTTATGTTATTTTATTTATACTACGAATTTGAAGAGCTCATTCGTTTACGAAGTGATAATCAACACATACAAAGTCAGCCAAGGATGTAGCTCAAGTAGTTGTTTAGCTCTTGCCATGTCTCTCTATGTACAGTTCATGTTAAAAATACAACCCCATATGTCGATACATAAAGATTGATCTAAGTAAATTGTCCTAAATAGTACCCCTCCCATTTTATAAGATATACTTTCATTTTTTTGATTGTCCAAAAAATATGATCATTTTTTAAAATTGGACTCTACTAACTTTTTACTTTCTCATTTTATCATTTATCTATCATTTCACTCTTTATTTTTTGTGAATCCACTCTCTCTTTCTTCCCTTGAGGTTGGAATTAGTAAAACAATCACTTTCTTAAATTCCAGACCAAATTTTACATTATGGGGTGGAGATAGGGATGGACTGGGCCGGGCCGAACCGGCCCGGAACCGGCCCGGCCCGCTACTGTGCGGGCCCGAACCGGACCGGGCCCGGTTGGCCGGTTCCGGGCTTTTAGCCCGTTTTGGCGGGTCGGGCGGGCCGGTTCCGGGCCCTGTTTTTGTTGAACCGGCCCGGGCGGTTCGGGCCGGGCCCGGTTCATTTTTTTTTTTTTTTTTGGTTTTTTTCAATTTTTTTTCTTTTCCTAGGGTAGGGCTGGGTGTTTTAGGGAGGTTTGGGGCGTGGGGGTGAGGGGGGGGGGGGTAGGGAGATAACAAGAAAGTCAAAAAAAAAAAAAAAAAAAAACATTGAACCGGGCCCGGCCCGGCCCGGTTAGGCCCGGACCCGGTATCAACCCGGGCCGGTTCCGGGCCCATGTAACCCGAAAAAAAGCCCGCCCGGGCCCGGCCCGGAACCGGAACCGGCCCGGCCCGGGTCCATCCCTAGGTGGAGATAGCAAAAATATTTTGCAATTAAAAAAAATGAGCATTATGTTACTATTATTTAAATAGTACGGAGTAGTTATTATCACTATATATTATTACGGCAGTATAATGTTATACGGAGTACTTAAAATTTGATAATGGAGAAATATGATAGTAAAATTTCAAGATGATAGTAAGAAGTTGTTCTCTTCACCTGATCTGAATGTTTCTGATCTGAATTTTTCTGATCTGATCTGATCTGAATTTTTCTGATCTGATCTGATCTGATCTGAATCTTTCTGATCTGATCTGAATCTTTCTGATCTGAAGGTTCCCGATCTGATCTGAATGTTTCTGATCTGAATCCTTCTGATATGAATCTTTCTGATCTGATTTGAATATTTCTAAAATTATAATTACAATTATAATTACTATAATTATAAATGTAATTACACATATATAATTTAAATATAATTATAATTATAATCATAATTGTAAAAATTATAATTATAATTACAAACATAATTATAATAGGTATAATTATTATTATACGTATTACACTAGTTATAATTATAATTATATTTATAGTTATATTTATTTCTATAATTTTAATTGTAATTACTCCGTATAATATGATAATAACGAAAACAAAACTAATAACAATAACAACAACAACCATATTAGTAGTAAGAATAATAATAATCATGATAATAATAAATATCATAATAATACTAATAATAATAATCATAGTAATAATAATAATAATAATAATAATAATAATAATAATAATAATAATATCAATAATAATATTAATTATAATAATTACAATAACAACAACAAGAATAATAATTATTATAATTATTATAATTATTATAAATATTATTATAATTATTATTATAATAAAAAGGATAAATCATGTCTGAACTTTTTCTGATCTGATCTGAATGTTCCTGATCTGATCTGAATGTTCCTGATCTGATCTGAATGTTCCTGATCTGATCTGAATGTTCCTGATCTGATCTGAATGTTTCTGATCTGATCTGAATTTTTCTGATCTGATCTGATCTGAATAAAATAAGAATAAGCAATAAGTAATAAGATTAAGACGAACAGAACAGCTTCTAAGTTACCTTTATTGAAGCGAAAAGTATAATTCTCAAATTTTAAGATTTTACATTGTTTTATCATATTTTGCAAATTTTCCCTTTACCCTTTTTTAATATTGTGATATAGAGACGTAGGGATCGGAGTGTTATTCCCTTATTTGGCAAAAAGAAGTTTTACACGCACATGGGTAGTGGTGGATACTGTTCGGGCCACCCAGCCCGTGACCCGGCTGGCCCGGTACTATGCGGGCGCGAGACCGGCCTGGTCCAGCGGTCCGGGACCGGGTGTTGACCCGAAGCGAGGGGGGCAGCGGGGGACGGGCTCAGTTCCGACAAAAGGTGACCCGGCCAGGTCGGGCCGGGTCCGGAACACAACGGCTATTTTTTTATTTTTATTTTTCTTTTTTGGCCAAAAGAGCTGTTTGGCTGGGCACCCACTTCCCAAACGGCTATATAACCGTTGGTTTCGGGGGGGGGGGGGGGGGGGGGGGTAAAAACAAAAACTATAAATACTCCTAATTTTAAACATTTTTCCACATCTCTTCTACAACTCTACCTAAATCATACTCTCTACTCTCTAATCATCTCTATCTTCATCTTCTCAAATTCTCTTATTCTCCAATGTCCATTATATTTTACTATTTAATACTTATACAATTATTATATCTACTTATATATTAATTATCTACTTATAAATACATATATTACATTACTTATATTTCTTATCTACTTAATCTCTACTTATTATCTACTTATATCTACTTAATACATACATTCTACATCTACTTAATATATACTTTATATTCTAAAGTGTTAAATATAAGTGTATTACTCATCTTATACTACGTAGTAGTATACTTATATATTATATACTATAAACATTATATTATATATTAGTTATACAATTTTTATATCTACTAATATAGTTGGAATTATTTCAAATTAATTCGAACTATATTATTTAGTATATTAAGTGTGTATATATATATCATCAAACATACTGCACTTTATATGTGCGCAGAATGAGCCATAGTTTTCCATGATTTATTTGATTGCCTTCCCGATCGAATTTTGAGCTGAAATTTGGTATGGACAAACTAGACTTGATGAAGAACATGCTCAAAAAATTTCATCAAAAAATTCCACCGGGAAGACCCTCTGATGGTCTTGTCCGCACGGGGCTTCTCATCAGGAACTCCTGATGTGAACTGCCCTCTATATATATATATATATATATATATATATATATATATATATATATATATATATATATTCGATTTTTACTACTCCGTAATATATTACTTTTATTACACGATTGGTTGAAGGCCGCACATAGAACTCAAGAAATGAGCATCACCCCCTCCCAAGACTTTATGGATGACTCAACAACCGATGATGGCTCTACCTATGCCGGAGATTCTGATTGATTAGTATTTTAAAATTTATTATAAAATGTATTTCATGTTTTAATCTTTCCCTCAGTTCTAAATTGTAATTTGTAAACTTGTACTTCATATTTCAAATAAATATGCGTTCATTTTTTCATATGAAGCACTTCTCAAATTAATTAATTGGTTACAAACTTACAATTAATTGTTTTTAATTTACTTGAAAATGTATTTCATATTGTAATTTTTTTCTCAATTCTCAAATGTAGTTCTTATTTCAAATAAATGTACTTGAACTTTATTTTTAATAAGCATTTGTATAAACTATAAAGTGTATAAAAAAATTAAACCCACCCAGCCCGGCGGGTGGCCCGACCCGTGACCCGGGCGGGTGACCCAGCCCAAACCGGCACCGGCACCGGCCATAGCACGGGCCGGTCCCGGGCCTCCTTCAAAAAAACGTAGGCCCGATCGGGCCCGACCCGGCCCGGGTCCATGACTAGCGACAATGTGAGAGTAATCTCTCAGTGTAAGGGAAATTCCTTGTGCGCAACAACACTGATCTAACCTCTCTGATCTGCTTAGTTGAGTTATGTTGAGTTGGGGCATGAGAGACCCTTAGAACAAGGTAAATTTACCTTGTACTTTTTACATCCTATCCTCATTTAACATTCTCATTAATCACCATTATTATGAATGGTTTTGAGTGCGTATCACCTGGGCGGATTTGAAAATCACAAATTAAAACATTTGATAGCTTAGAAACCGTGCATGTCAAATTAGGAATCTCAAAAAGGGGCCTATACAGTTCGTTACTAATAAAAAAACAGCAATACAAAGTCGATCAACACGAGAACATCACAAGAAATTAAATGTCATGAGATTCCTATATATAATCCTTAACTTCCACCTTTATCATCTCAAATTCTAACTTTTAATGAAGGATTTATACGTTTGACTTCCGTGAATAATTTTGGGCTATTAAAAGATCCAATTATTTCCTTGTGCTCCTTGCTCTATTTCTACTTTTCTGAAATGATGATCCATTTAGAGAAGACAATTTGTTCACAATCCATTATCTTTTGACAAAGTAAAACGTGTTAAAATGATTATATTTCTCTCTGAATTATTATTCTTTTCTTTGTTACTGAAAATAGCGAAATACGTAGTATTAATTTGGGCATGGACGCATGGTTGGCAAATGGCAATGCATAACAAAATTTATGAGCTCGCTAAAAATAAAAAGGGGACAATTTTTATCTTTTCATACGGGATTGGGATACAAAAACGAAGATTTTTGATAACGAGGTGCAAAGTCTAATTTGGACAATAAAATGGGGTGCAAACTCAAATTACCCCAAATAAAAATAGTACTACAATGGAGAGTAATTGGGCGGCCCACCACATGGCCCAATATGAGTTGGGCTTACTGAATGAAGTTATTATCAGTAATTTTCACAATTTACCTTCCTCTGTTAAAAATCTGTCTAAATTGCAGATTCATTAGGTCACCCTTTTTTCAGACCTGTCTAAATTGGGTCACATTTGGCCCCAAAATTTTTCATTCTCTTCATATTTTTGTTATGTACTATAAAAAGGGTATGTCTTTTTAGGAGAGGTATTGGTTTAGTCCTCCTCTCTTATTGTTTTTGTCATTATTTTTAATACAACTTGGCAAATGTTCTCCGGCATTTGCCCCACCGACTTAGGTAGTTTACCTACCTGGTATAAAAAAACAGAGTTATTTAGGAGTTAGGATACAAAGACGTTTATTCTCTATTATGTAAATATGTAATTGTCATATTGTAGTGCAACATAGATTAATCTATGGTTAAACAATGTCACCCTATTAAAATAAAATAGGAGACTAAGCTAGGACTGAACAGTCTGTTGTCCATTTTTTAAGAAAAATATATCAGAATAATCCCAACTATTAGTGATCTGTTTGAAATAATCCAAAATATCAATTATCTCAAAACAATCTCAACTATGAATTTTTTCTCAAATGCTTCATTATTGACCCGTCAT